CCATCTGGGTGTTTTAAAGCAGCTCTGTGTGCTTTCTGGACAGCTGTTGCACATCAGGAAAACACCCGTTACTGCTTAAAAGGATTCAGGTTATGCAAAGGTCTCTTTTTAAAAGGTGCCAGAGTGTATGCAACCCTTTGGCCTCTGCTTTATAGGTGATACACCTATAAAGGCAAACACGTGGAGACCAGAATACATGGTTTTCCCATGGTGACCTTTGTGATCTCCTACCACAGGGTCTCAAGGTGCATGGCTCACCTGGGCTCAGTCTAAATGCCCATCTGCAGCGAGCTACAACCTTCTCCTCCTGCCCCAAGGAGCTGCAATGCCTTTACCTTGGCCAGTGTGGAGAGGAGGCACCATCACAGTCCCTCAGAGTGGGGTTCAGGATGGGCTGTGTTAAAACCTCTGCCAAGCATCAGCTTGGTAACTATGGCAGAGCAAAGCTGAGGATGTGCTCCAGGGTAATTTGAGGCAGAGGATGAGGACTTGGAAGCATAAAACATCAGCAGGCTGTTGATGCAACTCCCATAGACACCTGTTTTATAACATGCCAGGTGCCTTTCTATGGCTATTACGGGAGTAATTAGCACAGGCTTAGGTGCCTGAGCTTTAGATGCCTAAGGTAAGGCAGGTGAATCCACGCTTCATCTGCTAAGGAGTTACCACTCAGAGGCAAAGACAGGCTGAGCCAGAAAACTTCCCACTGTGACAGCAAGGAAGGAAAAAGAAAACCCCTCAAGTGCATTGGCCTCCCATTGAACTGCATGTGGAGAAAAAATAACCCATCAGTTAGGAGGAGCTGCTGTCTCACCCGTCATCACCAATACCTGTGACAGTGGAGCTGACAGATCTCACTAGACAGCAGGCACTGTTCTGTTATGGGGACTGGAGTGCTTTCCCCTCCCCAGCCAAGCTGGGTTTGAAGGCAGCAGGAACCAGTATCATCACTGGCTGTCACCAGCACTGAGTCGCCTGGGATGGGAGGATGGGGGCTCCCAAGTAGAGGAGAGCTACACCAGGGACGCCTGTGCAAAGCAACAGCTACAATGGTGGAATTTGAGGTGCTTTGAACAGCACTTCATGGGCACCCTTTTTCCAGCCAGAATTTGCCAACAACAGGCTCTAACACAATGCTATTATTATCACAATGCTGTTTTGCCGGCTCGCAGAATTCATGGACAGTGCTCCTTGCGGGTTTAAAATAAACTTAATTTAAATGGACTGTTGATTGATGCCTGCCACTTCAGTAAAGAGTGTTAGCAGAGAGCTAAAGCAGCCACAACCCAGCCTTGCAGCGAGGACCTGCATCTCCTCCCTGCTTGGGTGGGGAGCTTGGAGACCACCAGTGCTCTCCCCATCATCATTGCAATGTTGGGCTTTTCGATAGAATAGCTTGGGAATGAGTGTCCAGCAGCATACAGCAAATCCCAGGCAGAAAATCACAAGCATCAACTTTCTATAGTGCTGTTTCCCACCCAGGAACAGGGAACAACATGGAGTGTGCTGGGAACTGGGCCCAGGGAAGGGAAGAGGCTCGTGTGGAGCAGAGACGGTTCTCACTTAATGGGTGTTTGAAGTTTTAAAGTCTTCCTCCCTTATCAGCAGCTTACTGTCCAGATTCTGAGAAAACCTGAGTGCATTTTCCAGCCTGCTTCTGTGGTTTCCCATTGCTCTGTTTCTAGGAGAGAAAATGCCATAGTAAAGAGGTAAAGCAAACTGCTTGAGGTTACTCGCAGCACGTGAACCTTTTGAAACAGCTTGTACTGCTGACTCAAGGACCAAGGTATCCACAGCAAGCCTCGCTGAGAAACAGCAATTGGAGAAGGACCAGCACCACACCACAAAGGGGGATGTATAGGTGCTTCACCCCCCGAGCACCAACCAAGGGCAAGCAGGCTGCCTTTAAAAGAAGGAGCATATTTTCCCTTCCAGATCATAAATCCTGTGGTCATTATTATCCAGTATTCCCGATTGACTTGATCTTGTGTTGGCATCTTCTCTTGCTAGAACACGGCCAGAGCTGCCCTATCATGCTTTCTGGATGGATAGACCTGGATTTCAGCAAACATAAATGCATTCAACCTCCTAGTGTCTGATCCCTGCTCCCTGCATCTCACCTCTCCCAAAGCAAAGCATCACGAGTGTGCTGGAATCTCTGTCTTTTAGTTTCCACAGTGAAAAGTGAAAAGCAAACAATTTCAGCACTAAAAGGCTTCCCTGTACTGGAGATCAAGATATGAGCTGCTGGAAGAGCTAGACCCCACCATGCACAGGGGTAAGGTGGCTGCAACGTGCCCTGGCCACCCAAGCATTGCCATTGCCGCAGCAACCCACCCTGTGTGCATCACTGTTGTCCAGCCTGCCAAGGGCGATGCTTCGGTTGCTACGATAACAGGGATCTGTTTTCCATGCATCCCTGTTCGCACCTGATGCTGAAGGAGTTTGACCTTTCCTTCCCTCCCCTCCAACAGCTCATTACAGTCAGCAGGAGATGGCAAGGAAAATAAGGCGGCGTGTGCTCCAGCAGAAGGAATTGGAGCCCAGCTTGAAAACACAGCTAATAAACTTGAAAGCCTGAGCCTGCCTGAAGCCAGTTCCTCGATTTTTATGATAACCCAAAGCATCGTTTAAGACAGTCACAGCCTCTCTGCAGCCAGGGCTGGCTGGGGCTCAGGGCAGAAGCTCCTTCCTTCAACAGTGCTGGGCAGAAGTGCCATTGACACCTCAAAACCCACCAGCTGGACCCGTTTGCTTCAAGCCATCAGGTATCTCTGCTCCAAAACTGTGCTGTGCTCTTGCAAATGATAAATTGCTGTCTAACTAGAGGCTGCTGAATCCCGTCAGGATCAAGTACGTTTTCCTAGCATCTTTTATCCTCCCTCTTCATCCAACTGAACTTTGTGCTTCCCCCATAGTGGTAGGAATTTCCTGCTTCCTGAGACTGCAGTAAATACTTAAAAACACTAAAATAGCCACTGTGCTTTTACTCGTGCTTTAGAGAATGGGTCCTTGGTTTCTGCAGGAGATGCCCCATGCTGCCTATTGCCCATGGCACCTCTCCCAGCCCTCCCTCAGTCCTCATGCCGCATGCTGCATTTTAAGTCAAGTCTTGGCAATAAGCTACCAACGTTTACCTGGTACCAGCAAATATTGCTGTGTTGGAGAGAATTCAGGAGGGTTTCATGGAGTTTGAGAACAAAATCACTTTATTATTGTTATTTTTTTAAATAGAAATCTTTCTCCCTGTTGCTCCTCCACTTCTAATTCTTAATTGGACAAGGCAGGTTCTTTCCTATTGCCAATAGGGCTGTACAAAATTACAAGATACATTAGCTTTGCAAAGAAAAAAAGCCTGAAATGATTTTCAAATTCCTCCTTGGAACCCATATGCTCTGTGGCAGGATAATTTTGTTTAGGGTAATTCACTTGCGCTAATTTCCTGTAAGTCTCACAAGATATATGACTATAGTTTTTGGTTATTTTCCACATATATTCAGCACTAATTTCCCTCGGAGCAATATTTACGAGCAAAATATCTCCAGAGACAGTGGAGGGTTTTTTGTTTGCAGAAACTGTGGAAATGCTTGGTGGGTCACATCACTGGCTCGTTCAGCTCAGTGTACATCAGAGTTAGCAGGGAGCTGGTATTCCAAAACATATAGATGCTGCCTCAGACATAGTCCCAACCTTCCCCAAGGTCCTGAGCTCTCGGAATTGTACTTCTAATTAGCGTGGGTGACTTCATTTCAGTACATTGCTCATAACTGAAAAATGCTGTTTCTGTAAACTGCAGGCTACTGAGGGCAGGTTGAATGGTGAACATTAGTTCAGTGGAATATTTAAGATATATACCAAAAATTAACAAAATATGACGAGGAGGCGAATGCTGAGCACCCTGAAAAAAGGCTTGCCCGGAGATGCAGCGGCAGCAGTGAAAAACCTTCAGCCACCAAACTCAAAAGAAACCTGTGCCAAAGGAAGGGGATCCCTTAATTCAAATGCTCTGCCCTGGCCACATTCAGCTCACCATGACAGAGGCAGCTGGGCTGCAGGCAGATGCTGGGAGAGATCCCCCCAGCACAGCACCATCTCCTCCATGCACTGCCTTTCCATCACCTGGAATGGCTTAGCGCACTTCCACGTTGCTTTTCTTTTAAATCACAGGTTATTTCCTCAAAACAACCTCGGTTTCCAGTCGATGCAAAGCGAATATCCACCCCTGGCTTCCTTGACGCAGCGGCTGATGCACAAATCCCGTTATAATTTGCTTTCACCTCCAGGTGGAGCGTTTCAGTTGCTGTTGCAGGGCTGAGCGCATTCTCCCTCCCCGCTCTGCATCTGCCCGCTACGGGGCCTCAACTGGACATCACGCTGTAAAGGGGAGGAAAAAACCCCACTGATGCCCAAATCCCAAATGCTTTGAGTCACCAGACTTGGCGTAAGGGACCACTCATGCCTTGGTGCACATGCAACGGGTCCCACCTCCAGCACCACCCCTTGATGGTGGCAGCAAGGACATTCTGCAAAGGGCTGTGTTTTGGGGCTGTCCCAAGCAGGTGATGTGATGAAGGTCTCAACACCTTCCCCGCTGCAGTGTTGGCTTCCCCAGCAGCAGACAGTTTTGTTTCTGCTGGAGAAAGTGGCTTGTTCCAGGATGGATTTTCACACCCATAGAGGCAGAGCTGGAAAGCCGGTCGCAAGCCAGGAAGGAAAAATTGCAAGGCAGGAATGGGGAGGAGGGGAGATCCAAATCAAAACCCACCCTCCTCATTTACAGGAAGGCAACTGGGAGAAAGCATGGTGTGGAAATGAGCTTCCCAAAATAAAGGGAATTTAATGCTAACCAAAACACCCGGGCACAGATGAACTTAATCATACCGAAGTGAGTGAATGTCGTTAAATAAACAGCAAAAGTTGAAGTGTTGAGATAGGTGATATATTTAGCTATCAACTCTTAGGGAGAAAAAAATAAACATCAAGAATTGCATGGCAAAAAGTTATTTGAAGTACTGAGACAAAGAGAAAAAAACAAATACGGGTCTTTGCTGACACATAACGTGCATAATGGCTCTTTCAGGGGACATGGGTAGGGGTTAGGACCCGGTTAGGAAGGTAACACTGCAATGGCAGAGGGATTTCCAAGGCACTTTATATGCATTTGCCTTCTCTGATTTCTTATTCTTCTGCGCCGTAGTCCCAACACCACTATAAAAAGTTTTAATGTTGACTGTGGTTGGTATAACCATCGACGGCCACGAGCTGTTCCTTGGCTGCTGGCTGACCTTGCATTTCATCTCCCATTATTGCAATTAGTTTCCCTAATTGCAAAGCCCAGTGGCTTCAGCATCCTTGTCAACCATTTGCAGCTCTGTGGTATAAAATGGGATATAAAGTTTTATACTGCTCCTCCGGTTTTCCTTTCTATCAGCTTGGCAAAAGCCTGCATTTTTTAAACAGATGATCCAGGGTTCAGTCCTTGCTAATGAATTTCACGTTCGTTTTGCCGTTGTAAGAAAATCCGTACAAAAAAGCACAAACCATGTTCCAGCCTTTACATAAAATCCGATGTCCTGGAAACCAGTTGCGAGTGTTTGCACCCAGGGATCCTCACGCTGGGATTGATGGTGGTGGCTGTTATTTGCAGTGCTCACCTGGCAGTTCTCAGCATGCAAAGGTGTCTGTGAAATTTGTGGGACCCATAAAATCAGAGCTAGCCAATGAGTCAGCTCTTTGACCTTCAATCCGTTTCCAGTCCCCTGGATGGGGAGTTTCACCGGTTTTAATAGCACACGTGCTGAATAAAGCACTTGAGCTGATCTTTTCTGTCACACCTGCACTACAAAAACACCTTTGCAAAATGGGAAGAGTGATTTTCCTGATAGGAGCAAGCCAGAGCCCTTTACACTTCGAAACAGGGAGTTTAGGGGGGACGGATGCAGAGTTATTGCAGAACAGCAAAGGATTGTTCGTGGAGCAATTGTTTGGAAATACAAGGTAATAAATTATCCTCCCTGAATCACAAGTCTATAGCAAAGAGATACCTGGACTGCAAATGCACACGCTCAGCAGAAGTTAATAAATCAAAATTAGAGCTAATTGTCATGGTTGAAATCACCCCAAGAGTCAACAGGGATGTGCATCTGACCCCTGTAGCTGCTTTTATAAGTATTAACTCAAGCTCTTAATGCCAACAAAACCTCTGCTGGGCCCTCCTGATTATTCTGAGTCATTAGATGGTCAAGAAAACAGCAGGCCACAGGATGCTGGTCAAACTCCAGAGAAGAAACTGATAAAGCCATTTATTCTATACAGGAATCAAAACCAGTGCACACAAATTTTTTCTCCCCAAAACATTCTGATGATTAGCTTTGATTAATGGGGCTGCCAGAGGATCATTCATCAGTATTAACTAACAACATCTTTTTCCACATTATTTCCAACTCCCTAGAAGCTGGAAAGTGAAGTATGCTTCTCTTTTATGATATTCTTTTTACCCTGTTCCCATCTGCATACTGGTTTTGGGGGGGGGAGGGGGGTGTTGTAGGGTTGCCCACAAGACCTTATTGCTCAAATACAAGAGGGCTGCATGGCACACACACTGGTCGTCCATTAAAAGTCTGTGGGTATCTCTTTCCCATTTGTTATTGCAGGGCTGCTTAGGAGCACCACTTACTAGAAGGCTGCTCAGTGTTGTTGAGCTTCCAGAATGATTTTCCCTACCCCTAGTTTTTCCTGCAGGAGAGAACTGCCATAAAGTCCTAAGTTTGGAAACCAGGCCACTGCAGCCTGTGCTGCTGCACAGCAAAGATATAGCATAATTAAAAATTAAGTCAGATTTTGGGCTGCAACAGCATCTTACCACCACCAAACACAAAGGGACGTGAGACCTCGAACTCTGCGTTCTCCTGGAGCATCCAGGAAACGTGGAAACAAAGCACAGCATGACACAGACAACCTTGATGGCCGAGATCTCCATGCTGCCTGATGTACTCCCCGATCCCAAATGCAGGATTCAAGTGCTGGCTTTCACAGGCTGAACATTAGGGTTTCTACAGAGGAAATATTTTGGGAGGTGCAGTATAATTGAGGCTCGTGCTGTAAGCAGCATGTCATAAGAACAAATGACCTGGCAGACTTATAGTTTGGGAAGGGACAATGCAACCTGTATAGCTGCAGGAATCCGGGAGCAGACAGAGGTGCTCGGGGCAGCTGTCAGTGAACTGAGTGCCTTCAAGCAGCCACCATCTCACAAGCAAAGTCCACACATGAAACCATGACACAGGAAACGTTCTGCACTGTGTTAGGCAATTTACCAATCCAGGAAAGAAAGGAGAGGCTATTTCCTTACTGTTGCTTGGCCAGATCCACGCTCCGGTGGTCAAACAGGGATGTCTGGGATGGCTTCTGTGTTAAACTGTGCTGCCTTTCCCACTCCAGTCCCAGCTCCTCACCTGCTGCCAGGCACCTTTGGGATGAAAAAGAAAAACAACATTAAGAGATTTCTGTTAGGAAATATAAAGGTCTGTGTTATTGCTCCTCCATTTTCTCACTGATCACTTTATCTGGGGATATTAGCAATGGAAACAGCAACTAAGCAAAGCACCTAGGAAATTGTAGACCATAAAGCTGAAAGAGCAAGCATCACTTGTGACAGTGGGGCTGACATCTGCCCTCCAGGTTTGGGGCTGGGAAAGACTTTCCATCAAGCTGCCTATCGTTCTCCAGTTGAGGCCTCTTGAAGCCCCAAATCTTTGGTTCTTTTCCCAAACACCTTCCAGTCTTTCCAGTTACCAGCCAACCACTCGGGAGAGTTAGCTCCTCCAGGCCTGGGGACATTAAGTGGTGGGGACCCAAACTGCTCCTCTCCAACCCCACCTTCCTAGTGCTAAATCTGGGCATTTACAGGAGATAGAGGAGGCAACAATGAACCTCAGGGAAAGGCAAGACTTTCCCCCTGCTTCCTTCCTCTTCCATGCTCCTCTCCAAGCCCAAGTGGTGGAGCAACCAGAGACCAGTTTGATGCCCCTCCTGTGGCAGGGTGTCCCCCGTCCTCAGCCTCCCTCATGGCAGACCTGCCCACAACAATGGGCAGAAGGGCTGAGATGCCCCCATCTCCTGCTGCTGCCTGCCATGGGTCAGCTTTCAACCGAGCTGCAAAGAGCAACCATCATTCTTCTGACAGCTCAGGGGGTGTTTCCAGACCTCTGGACTCGCTTTCTGTCACTGCAGATAGGAAAAAATCTCCAGTCATCCAAAGACGGATTCCAGTGGCCCTCCAGGTAATTCCTAAACTTTGAGACAGGCCCGGAGCGCCATCGTTCCCCTCTTAATCCCCTAAAAACATCCACGGGAATGGCAAGCTGGCTTCCCCCGCATGTTTGCCCTTTCCCCTGGAGCCCCATCTCTGCCTTTTCAGACTCAAGCAAACGAAGGCTGCCTCAAATCTCAGCTTTACCAGGAGTTTAGTTTCAGGTCAATGAGCCTATGAAGAATAATTGCATCACAGGAATGGCACATGCCATCTCTGTGATGTGATTCAGCTAGAACGGCTTTCCCCAGCTGATGCTGGCTCCTGGACCGTATTATTCCTGAACTGCCTGGATGCTGCCCATCCTGGAAATGCCAGAATGTCATTCCGACACTGGAAGCCAAGGTGATCTGTCACTTTGTTTTCCTCCAATCTGCATTTATGTGTTACCATAATAGATAACCTGATTATAACGTTTATAAACACACTGTATGTATTATATTTATTATGGTTTGCATTAAGGTGGTATTAATGCAGGTGTCCCAGCTATGTAGGTAGTAGGTAGGTAGAGGTTGCAATGGCAAGAACCATAAAGTTATGTTACCTACTCCTTCAGTAAGCACACATACCTGCTCTAGGCAGGCTCCAATATGCTTTGGGAGCAATTTTCAACAGCCATACACCGGCCTTACCCTAAAACGAGCTGCCAGACAGAACCGTCTCGGGCCAGGCCACCTCTGCTTCCATTTTGGCTGCAGGGCAGTGTTCTTCCCTGAGGTACACATACACCTACACCCTCCCACAATGCCCTCTGTCCATTACTAACAAAACCTGACAAAAACAGACGACAAAGAAGGTAATGATGTGAATCAGAGGGATGGTGACAGATGGACAAAACTAGAAATGGCTCTTTGTATACATGCTTCTTTTTTATTTTGTCATTAGAAAATGAGGCTTTCTGTATCCAAATGGCCTCGTTTTGCTTCAAGTGTTTCGCATTTTTACAGCCTGTCTGCTGTCATGTGTATAGTGCTCTATAAATATTTTGTTGAGCTGACAGTGCAAGCCCTTTCCTTCACGTTTATCCTTTGACACTTCCTTTTTACTCTCCAATGAGAGTAGGAACTCCCTGGGTCTGACCCTGAGCTGTCAAACCTCCACACAACACAGACTGGGGAGGTACAAGTGATGATAACAGCTATAACAGGGATCACAGAGTTATGATTTCTAGAGTTAGGATCATCACAATGCATAATTTTTTCCTGCAGAGGGGTTGGAAAACAAACTGTGAAAGATTTTTCTCCTTTTCTAATCATCAGCTCGCTTTGGTAATGAGAAGGAAGTGTGATATCCTATGCAACCTCCTCCTAAATCCAGTTATGACAGTATTTCTAGGGATTACTATGTTGAAAATGAGGGTCACAGGATGCAAGGAAAGAGAAACTGGGCATCAGCCCTCTTCAGGCATCTTCCTAACTCTGCAGATGACTTGCTAGAACAAGTGTGTGTGACACTTGAAATGTTCCTTTTCTAATTGCATTCACTCACTAACGTTTGCAGAGAAGGAGCAAGGGTTAGCAGATTAAGGTTTCTCCGCAAAGGCCTTTTTGGTGACCACCACCCAAGCCCACTGGCACTGCTGAGGGTCTGTAACTTGGTGGTTTCCTGCATCCCTTAAGGACTTTGCTCTTCATTCACATTAATATCATGCGTGCTCCTAACAGCCTCTCTCCAGGGCTGGAAAGGTCTTTTGGTAAATCTAAGCCAGTGCAAAAGATCCTGCCCAGTTTGCACCCAATCCCAAGCAAAAAAATCACAGGTCCTACATGAATGAATAAGGAAACGAGGAGAGAAAGCATGACTGCAGCAGTTTTCATGGCATTTGGCAGGGCTGGAAACAGTGATGGCAATAATTGCCCAAAAACTGCTTGTCACAGATTTTCCAAATGCTGAAAAATACAGAAATACATATATTTGTAAGTAACCACCAGACTCAATCAGCTCATCTTGACCAAATACTCCACAATGACATTATTCCACAATGGCATAATCCTTAGAGAAAAACCACAGCATTCTTGGACCCCAAACAGAAACTTGACACATGTAATACCTAATACTAGAGTGTACTTTATACCCTGTGTTCCTATGAGTCATTTTCCATCCCACTGTCTGTTGAAAAATGCTTTTTTGTTTATTTATTAAAGATTCTCTCAATGGCTTTATTGATGACAGAAGAAGGGAGTGAACGAGCTGAGATTCGGCATCCCAGAGACCTGCCACCGAATCTGGCCTAACTAAAGCCATCTGCTTGGGACAGGAGCCACAGCCACTGGACGTGCTGCCAAAATCCAATCTTAAAGGGACAGTGCTAAAGTGGGTGGGATGCAGAATGGACTTTGCCTTTTAAAACAAAGCCAAGTTACAGAACAAAAAAGAGAGACATGCTTTTAAATGGGAGGGACACAGGATGGAAGGACAAAGTTGTTTGTTTTGATTGTCAAAGCCCAGCTTTCTTGGCACAAATGGAAACAGCCCCAGGCCCGTCTGGAAGAACAAGTGCTGGGCAGCTTTTCAGCCCAACAAGAAGATGGGCAAATGGAGCTATGTACTAACCCAAAACCGGCCGGTCTTGCTCAATAATGTGAAGCAAAGCTTGGTTCAGCCCTTGTTGGTACTAGCATCATGCAATGGGACACATTTAAAGCCAGCAAGAGGCAGCTCAGCATCAGCTCTGCGGGTGCACAGCAAAAGAAAGATAAATCACCCATTTATTTAATAAATACGTTTAATTGTGTTATTTGATCAATCTTTATAATCTCAACAGCTCAAGCCTGAGCTGCAGGGGTTTGTTTTCCAATTTAATCTTGTCAAGACCCATTTAAACACTGTAAAATGAGTAGCAGCATCTTGTAGGGATGTTGCAGGGAACTGAAGGGCACTGAATAGAGTTAGGGCTGTGTGAGCTTGTACAAAGCCGGGTGACCATGGCTGGGGGGGTTACACCCCAGCACCAGCAGCAACAGCCCCCATCTTCAATAGACATTTAACCAACTAAACCTCTTCATTATGAGTTTGAATCATAACAATGGTTTGGGTTGGAAGGGACCTTAAAGATCATTCAGTTCCTTCCACTATATTAGGTTGCTCCAAGCCCCATCCAGCCTGGCCTTGAACACTACCAGGGATGAGGCAGCCACAGCTTCTCTGGGCACTCTGAGAAGGGAATCCTCACACTTTCACCACGCTTACAGGGAAAAACTTCTGCCTAAGAGCTCATCCCAATCTCCCCTCTGGCAGGTTAAAGCCATTCCCCTTGTTCTGTCCCTGAAGGACAGCAGGACAGCCCTGCTCCAGGTTTCTTGCAGAAGCACTCAGCTCTGCTGCTCCACTCAGTTTTGGTGGTAAGCTACCAGGTCACTGAATAAATATAAGGTTGACCTTTCCCCTCCAAAAAAGAACTCCAAGTCTCTCCTTATGGGTTATGCTGGTTTTTTTTTTGCTGAATATTAGGTCTTTCTAAACAGAAAGAAGGTGAAAGGCCTGGAGGGAGGGGTCTTAGCTCCAGTTAGCCAAATACAGCTGATAGATAGCTATGCAAAGGGAGTCATCCCATCTTGCTCCATCACACATGAACTACACAAGCCTGACAGTTACCACCCCATCACCTAAACAGCCCAAATAAAGATCATCAAACAACATGACCTGTCTCTACTAATGACCAGTGAAGCAAGAAACAATATGTTCATGGTCTGTGGGAGATCAGATTAACTGATGGTCATGATCCATGCAATAGCTGCCATGAATCAAAGGACCCGTAGCAGATATGCTTGCCTCCCAGTGACCATTGTGCCACTGCCATGAAGGAGCACATTGTGTGGAGCTCTCAGCATGTGGTGGGACTTGCTGTTCCCATGAAAACTAATAATCACAGATCTAAAATGCTAACATTAGGAATACCCTTGCTTCAAACAGAGATTCTGTCTTCCCTCACTTCCAAATACAAAGAATAAACTCAAATACATGCATCTATATACACATATCATAAATGCATGACACAAGCAACACAGCCAAGTCAGCTCTCCTGACCTAGATGCGGTGCTGACAGGAGATCCCTAGTGCGTATGTTACACGTTTGCCTTATATTCTTTCTTAAACAAAATGAGCAAAGGTTAAAACTGAGTTTCCGTAGAAGGGCACATTTGCTGTCCAGATGGTAA